AATTTCCCTCACCTGCTTTGATTTCAGAAAGTGAGCAGGAACATGTTCAAGTGTGAGAGAGTGCATTTCTATGAGCCTTGCAGCATTATGTTCATCATCACAATGCTTAAAATCCTCAATGGTCTGCAGGTAAGTCATCACTTGTTGTGCCTCAGGTTTGTCCGCAAACTCCTTCTTGGCATCCTTCAAGCCATGGATAACATACTTCAATACTGCAGCCATTGCTAAAATCATAGTTTATATACATATAACGTTAAATATATACACAGTGTGTTTCAAAAGTAGCTTTACAACTTGAGGGCGAGATATTGGTGAACTGATACGAGAAACACATAATTTCAGAACATAGAAATGTAGTCAAACACTTCAAGTTTTATGTCCATCAGATTTTTATGGTTCAATGTGACTTCCATTTGTTATGCGGCAGACGTCCCATCTGTAGTCAATATCTTGCCACACGTGGTGTAGCATTTCCGGTGTCACTTCAGCAACTGCAGTGGTAATTCGAGTTCGGCCACATTTGCAGGTAAGGGTGGCACGTACACTTGATCTTTAACAAATCCCCACAAGAAAAAATCTAAAGGTGTTAGATCCGAGGAACGAGGTGGCCATGCTATTGGTGCGGCCCGCCCAATCCACCGACCTGGGAAACGGCCGTTGAGGTACTTGCGCACTTCTCCGAAGTAATGAGGGGGTGCGCCGTCTTGCTGTAAGTGAATGCGTCCTTCCTGGTCATCTTCGTCAAGTTGAGGAATGAGGAACTGTTGGAGCATGTCCAGATACACAATGCCGGTAATGGTCTTCTCCATGAAAAGTAAAGGGGTGTACACTTTATCTTTGCTGAGGGCGCAAAACACATTAACTTTTGGACTGTCACGAGCATGTTCCAGGAAGGCACTTGGATTTTCACTACCCAAATCCTGCAGTTGTGGGTGTTGACCTTACCAGTGACATGGAACGTGCTTTTGTCACTGAAAATTACCAAGTCCAGAAATCCTTCAACGTCTTCACCCTGCCGCAACATTTCTGTGGCGGTTTTCGGTAGTACAGTTAATGTGCATGAAACTTGGTGTGTTTGGCTAAATTTGTGCATTTGAAAATATTGTGCACATCCTTTAAATAAATTTATATTCTCCTGCAAAGTTGTAAAGCTACTTTTGAAACACAGTGTATTTTAATTCAGAACCTAAATAATTCACAGACTTCAGTAGCTACAAGACTCTCATACTGATTTAACCATAGGTTATTACAAAATCTCAAGTTTTTACACTGGACATAGACCCAGCTAACATTCAACAACTACAGAATTTACAGGGCAACAGATTACTACCATATCCTGAAATAACAACATATCTATATTTCAGAAAGAATTTACTGGGTCTGTTGCCTCAGAGCAGTCATACGCTACATTATTTCAGATTCAACAGAACCTGGATCAAGTGTAAAAATGTCCAATAATGAAGATGGTTGTCTTCTGGGTTGTAGCACTGTGTAATCTGGTAGAAGATTACCAACGTTTCAGAGATTCTTACTGCCTCCATTATCAGGGTGATAAGTTAGTAAGGACCTCTGAAACGTTGGCAGACTTCTACCAGATTACATGGTGCTACGACCCAAAAGAGAGCCATCTTCAGACTTACCGCCATGAAAATCCTACATGCCAAATATTAACAGAATCTTTAAAAACAATTTCAGGTCATTATTTACATCTTAACTACTGACTATATATGTAAACAAATTTTGGTACTTGAGGGTTATCGGGACACATCGCTTTAAAAATAGGTTAGGTTAGGTTAGGTTGTTGTTCTGCAAGATTGTTTACCGCACCTCCTGTTCACTCTATCACTGAAATATAGTTTCATAGCAACCTAACCTAACCTAACCCAACCTATTTCGAAATAGATGTGTCCCGATAACCCACAAGTACCGAAATTTTTATTACTATTTTCAATATATATTCATTTCACCTATAAAATTAACAGACTTCACATTTTATTTATACACTCAAACCATGAGATATGAAAATATCAGTATTGGTCTCATGTAAGTTACCATTTAATTTGAGATAAAGTCACCACCCCTTACTCCAAATAGGATGAATGAATAAAATCATATAATCCAGGGATTCACAATCTGTGACCCACTGACATGATCATGGTTTCTATGGCAAATGCACATGAGCTTGCAGCATGATAGTGCTAAGCCAAATCTGGAATGAGGCTACATATACATAGCGAATATTCTGCTAATGGTAAAACATCATCGCCTACTTCTTTGCTTCTATGCATCTCTTAAGTCTGTCATTAGCATGTTATTACTAACAGTTCAGCTGTATGTACTTGAATCTATGAACAACAGTTACCAAAAAATAGCGCAACAGCAAAGAACACAAAACACCAATTTCATAACACAGGCCATCATTACCAACATCCGCTGACTTCGGATGAGACAGCTTAATGATATCCCGGTGCGTCCAACCATACTGACCACGGAATTTTGTTACACATTCACATAATTCCATTGGCTCCTTCCTCAAGTACCAATCAATTACCACACGTCGCCAGCCATGACCACAACCTGGAAAAAGTAAGAAATAAGCATGATAAAAATGTATAATGGAACGAATATCTTAAGTGGGGACAGGCAGGTCACGGAATGCGGCATGTCATTAAACCTAGCTTACCTGAATTTGACTGTGAGAGATCATGAGCAAATTTAATGAACAGGAAGAAATCGATAGGGGCTTTGCACACCGTCTTAAGGGCATTGTAAGCAGCTGCACGCAATTGTTCACTTGTCTGCTGACGGGCGCACAATGCTAAAGCATACACTAATGATTGTGGATGTGCAGAATAACCATCACTGAATGCCTGCAAAGGAAAGCAATTTTTCATTTCACATCTGTTATATGCAACGTACAACAAAATCAAGCACTTGCAGTTTTCGAAGTCCCAAACCAAAAATAATAAGTGTACAGCTGGCATCATAATTCCAGTCATTCATATTCTTGTATTTGTCTGTATGTGGGTTTTCTTCACCTTCCAATAACTATAATGACTTTTGCATTGTGGGCTGTATACTTGTGTTTTGAAGTGTATAAAAACAATGAACCTTGCTGAGAAGCGCTGGTTGCTATCAAAGCCATAAAAAATCTCATCATTGATGTATGTAAAAGAAAATTTAATGTACAGGGTGTCTACAATGAAACGCCCAAATTTTATCGTATTCTCAGGAAGTAAGGAATAGAGATATGGCCTATTTATTGACAAATATCAGTCACACAACACAACAAGTACGTGAGCACCGTTGGTGACACGTAGGATATCTAGCCTGTAATCGAGTTCCGCCCAGGTCCGCTGCAACATATCCGGAGTGGTTGTCCCGACAGCTTCCACAATCCAGGCCCGGAGGTCTCGCACTTTAGTGGCGTAAATTCTGTCCTTCACGTAGCCCCACAAAAAGAAATCTAACAGCTAGAAGAAGAATCCTCTGCCCCCGTCGGGGATCAAGCCCCGGTCGTCCAGTCCGTAGCCAGTCACTATACTGACTGGGCTACGCTGGCTCCTCTATGTAGTTAAGAATAAGAAAAATTTATTTTATAAGAACAATATAATACTGCACCTTAACAATGTGAGCAACTGGATCAGTATCTTTACCATCAGCTATCAGCGCCTCTATAGAAGTCACATTGCCTGGTTCAAAGTACTTATTTGCATAACGGTCACCTGGCTGATATAAAGCTGTCTCACGCCCATAATGAAGGAACCGTTTCAGTTTCAGTTCCGAGGATGCCGATGTCATAGTCGGGAATTTGACCACGTGACACCGACAGAGTAATTATTCTGCAAGAAAAAGAAGAGAATGAAGCTCTCCTCAGTGTGTCTAAAACAAATGACAAAAATTCATTTATCATATTAATTAATACTTACAAGGTCTTGTAAGTATTGGATGAATGTTATCAGAAAGAATTGGCAGATGGAAAGTAAGTGTGGAGTTGCAATAATTCATCAAATCAGTATATTTGAGCAGTTTCCTTTCTCTTATGTTCCATTCTCTCAACAAATCACCATAAGGAAACTTAAATATCACTAAAAAAAACTTCCAACAGTGCAACTACTATTCCCACCTTACACATTCAACCATGAGGTTAGTATTGTTAATTATGGGAAGTTTAGTCCGTGACTGTAATCTTGAGACTTGCGGGATGAGGAAGTGGGGTGAAGGAGGAAAGATAGTGTCTGCCTTTGACGCTTCAGACATCCTGCATTCCTTGCAAGTCTCAAGATTACAGCCGCGTACTGTACTTTGTCATCAGATGCTCTGTACATAAACTTAATCAATAACATTGAGGATAATAATGAAGGACATACACACATAAGCAGCCCAGTAACATGATTTCAAATTAATGGAGTTTCTTCTTGTACAACCCTAATAAGACAACCAAACTTCTGGGGTCTCTTCATAAACCTTGTATTAAAAATTTTCTCCTCCCTCCTGTGTACAGTTTGGCATGTAAGTATGAGCAGAAGCTATTTTATGCACATAAGAACTCACTTTAAACTACTACTTTACATGTAAATATAAGATGTTAAATTCTTAGCAAGAGGTGAAAATGTAACATCAAGACCAAGTTTCATAGCACAGTTTACGCCATGTCAATGTGACATGTTGTGATGTGGAACAAATTAACTGTGGCTACAACTGTCATAATTCAGACACATTCTTCTTTGACAGTGATAACTGATGACCCATTGCTGTTAGGATCCTGAAATGTGATATAATATACCATAATCATACCTACACATTTTTGCACAAACAGTTCACTGCATTAAAAATGACAATTATGATATCAGCACATAACCTGAAGGTTATGTATAACAAATTACAGGCAGAATTTAAAGCAAAAATCAAACTACACATGAACACAGATCAGTGTGCTGTGTAATTGTAATTATCTGTATTATACATAGGCCAGTTTATGTGTATGTTTGCTTACGCTCACAAAGAAATTTTTTATAGGATCAGGTCTCACGGAAAGCTTAACATAGTCCGATTGAGATTTTCCATAGTTTTCTACCTGCAATGTAATGTTAGGTATTATCTTGGCAATAACTGTTCAAACTAAGCAAAATATGAAAAGAAAGGGCAAGAGTAGTTCAAGAAGTGACATATGAACCTATTCGGCCATAAGAACTTATTGAAGGAACAAGAAGTAAATGAACCAGGAGATAAGGCCTCATATAGTTTTATTTGCACATGTGGTGTTTCAACTTTTACTGACTTATTACATATGGTTACTCCCTTTGTACAAAAATACCCATGAGAAATGCTGTTCTGACCAGCCAAAAACTTTCTGCTACTTTATGCTTTCTGGTTATTGGACAAGCATTTGAAGATCTGAAATTAACAAATACAACACGACCTCAAACACTGAGCAGAATAGTGCTTCAACCAAGCAAGATGAGCCTTAAAGTAAAACACAAAGGTAATAAAGTTACTTGCTATCAAGCTGAAAAAATACAATATACTTAAAAAAATTCAATAACTCTATTGTTATGATATGCCACCATGACAACAGAACCACAACTGAAGAGATAATGCACTGTGTACACACCAAACTACACAATAAACTTGAAGCAAGGCTGCTTTCACAACATGTATATCAAACTAGCTCGATGTTTCTTCAATCATTGCACAAACCTTCAATACTGTCCATACACTGTCAATTAAAACTATGCAAACCCAATACTGTGCAATTAATATTGCACGTCTAGGGGCCCCTTTTGAGTTACAGACCAAATTTCACATCTATATAAAACAGGTACAATTGCCTTTTTGTATGTTTTCCTATTTAGGTCATTATACAGGTGATGAGACAATAAAAAAATTAATTGTATATCAGCAAGCATTCACGAATTTAACATTCTCTTAACTTCTTCGTCAGTACTTATTTTGATTTGTTACTGTCTTTCCACAGTATTTGAAAGTTAATGCATTTTTTAAAACCTAATCTCTACAAGTTTTATAGTATTCTAGTGACGAGACTAACATCGAACTAAACGTGGTGCACATTTTTCATAAATCTTCTTGGTCAACAGATGACTATCTGCACAAAGCCACATACATAAAAGAATTAAATAAATGTTCTTAAAGGTAATATTCGTTCCCATAATAACAGGACTGCGAACTTAAAATCAGTTCTGCAACAAGTTCCTATGAGCACTTCACCAAAGTAATTACAAAAACCACAGTATTATAAATCTTCGTATATTATATCTTAATAAATGACACAAACCTTTGTATATTTAATATTTCTTCTTCAGTATTTCAGAGATGTCAACACAAGGCAATAAATGCACGATAAATGTGGGTCAGTACTGAAATTATGAACTAATGGGCAAGATGAAATAATCATAAAAAATTATATTTCGCCTTTAACTTATAAAATCTAACAGCACCTTTGTCTACCTTGAAAACTATCTTCATTAATTTGGTATCTAATTTGAACTTAACAAATTCATGTGCAATTACTTGGAAGAAACTCATACGACTCTGCACCACATAGAACTGAATGTCACTTCTCGAAATAGAGGCTGATCAAGAGCACACAACCCACGGATTACACATAGACATTTATATGATCTATGCGCACAACATACTTGTATTGTAACGTCTATGACTATATAAACGGCGATATTCTTTGAATCAGAAGAAAATCTTTGATTTGTAACGTCTAAACATATCTTCAATCGAATTTAACTTTAATAATTTACAATGATAACAGCAAGTCCTAGTTCACATGCTGATATTTTCGAGGGAACAGTTGCTCAACTACCTGTTAAAATGATTTAATCTGAGGTGAGATTCAGCCAGTAATGGTAGAAGGCAGGAGATCGACTTCAAACGACCAACAAATCGTACTTTCTTTGAACATATAACAGATGGTAATTTTAATTTGTCAATAACAGACACATAACACCAGCTCACAAACCGGTAATTCAATGCTACAAGTTGGCAACGCACTCAGCGTGTGACGTCACGCATGTATTGTTCTGCCATCTGTCCGCAGCTATAGTAAAACTATTAAAATGATTAATCTGGTAATAATTTGGTATCAAACACTAAAACAATCAATGCCGTGAGATCAGTTGGAAACGTCAATTGCATTGTGAACTGTACGGCTACTGGTTGTCATAAAAACCTTCGACCATGCCATTCAATTTACTCAAATCTAAACCTCCCCCCCCCCCCCTTCATGACATAGGAATAATTAATTTTACAAATCTTAAGATTTGCGAAATTAGTTTCAATAGGTTTTTATTTATGCAGTAAATTACAGCAAAATTCCGTAACTGTAAGTTCCTAAATTGAGGGATAGGCATAACTAGTCCCTTGGCACATCAATGTCAAAAGGGTTGCTTCCAACCCCATCATGCTGTCACCAAAAATTAATGATCTGAAATCCAACCTTTTGGCTACCTTCCAGCAATAAAAATAAAATGTTCACAACTCTACATAAACCCCTGCTACTCCAGATGTTGACAAGTATGTGGTTCATTGACAAGTTTATTGACCTTTATTGACCATGCAGTCCAGATGGCTGTGTGTCACAAGAGTATACCCACACTATACCATTACAGTTATAGTAGTACTATTCATAGTATATAAAGAATGTAAAACATAATTACAAAAAGGATACATAATAAAATCCATTAAAATGCTTATCTACTATAAAAATCTGTGATTTACCATTGTCGTTAAAAAGTGACGTCACCAAACAATGTCACGTTATATTTGTTTACTCGGCACTATTGAACCAACACAACAATGCCGAGTAAACAAATGATTTGACTAGTATCTTACACAAGATTTTAAAACGCAACCAACCCCCCCCCCCCCACCAGGGGGCAAGTGTTTTAATCCCCTATTTGGGAGGGGGGTGGGTTGGTTGGTTTAGTTTCTTACACAAGATTTTAAAACGCAATCAACCCTCCCGAGGAGCTCCGAAAGGAGCTTTCCAGAAGGAAGGGGGGGGAAAAGAAGAAGAAATAAAGAAAGAAGAAGAGACAAACAGAGAATGTTTACATGGATATGCAGTAAACAGAAATACAAATCTTAATTCACAGACATGTTGCTCTATATACTATTGTGAACCATTCTTCTCTCAAAGCCAAACTTCATATGCAGATGAAACTACTGGGGATCATTACAGATCCACATTGATTCGAACATAACAGAACACCTGCTGATCAGTTATTCTGTATTTGCCAGACTCTGGAGAAAAATGGTAGTATTATTCAACAGCACACCAGATTTTTATAAACATCAAGAAAGTCAGGAGACAGATACCATGTAACACACGATAATGCAGGGAATCGAACCCTGGTCGTGCAGTTAATAGTCTGTCACTATACTGACTGAGCTACCCTGGCCCTCGATCAGTTGCAGCAGCAGTGCTGGGTTTGTCACATGACATTGTTGAATACTGGTACTTGAAACAATTACAAGAAACATTCAAGATAGGTTAACTGAAACATGAACTAAGCAGTGCCTCATATTAAATATATCATTTAAAGTGAAATGCAAAGATAGAAACATGAAAGCTGCACCCCTGAACAATATAAATCACAGAATTCTTTGGTCTCAAAATAATTCTGTGGCAGAAATGAAAGAATGTATTACAGGCTCCTGGGACTGCATCAGGAAGATGATTTATTTATGAAGTGGAATAATTCAATTACATATCTCACGGCCTACCTCAAAGTTTAGCTTAACTAGGTATTATATTACCTGTGAAATACACAATAGCCTTTCTTAACTAGTTATAGATTCCACTGATACAACTTTAATTCAATACTTTCATTCATCCATTATATTCTCACTATCACTTTCAAAAATCATCTTTCATTTTATGCCTCTCCCCCATTCCTCTTATTTTAAACAAGTAATTACAATATCTATGAGACCAATAGGGGTGAAGGTATTGTTTGTTAACGACAAATATTCAAGTCCGAGAAAAGGATGGAAGGATCCTGTTCATATGGGCCTGTCGTCAGACAGACAGACAGACAGACAGAAAAAAAAAAAGAGAGAGAGAGAGAGAAGAGAAAGAAAGAAGAGTTTCCTACATAGTAGTTTTAATTTGTTTTTAGCTGTGTGTGATATAATTTTATGAACATGTCTGGAACGAATTCAAGGTTTAGACATCTTTATAAAAGAAATAATTTGGTGTCTGAGGGTGGCGGAAAGTATAAACTAGCCAAGAAGAAATTAGAAGAACGCCATGTTTCCAGAATTGAACATTTCAACAGGAAACGCAATTTGACCGGTGTAAATGATGACTCTGAAACCGTCAGGACGGTGGTTGACTCACACAAATAAGACTTCAAAAATGGAAGGAAGAGAGACTCAAGAAAAAGTAGTTAATAAAGGCTTCACAAAAAACACCTTTTAAATGTGGCATTGTGCATCATAGTTTGTGATCTCCCTAACGCAGTGATATCTCCAATGTGCCAACACCTGCAAGGCTTAGACAGAAAACATTCGTAGGGAAGAAAAATCCTTTTCCAGATGATACAAAACAATCATTCGCTCCATCAGGTTTCAAATTCAAATCTTGTAGTCATAATATATTTTTTATAGGGTGCAGAATAACTCAACAATTAGTTGCTTATTGCAACCAATGTTTCAAGTACATGTGAACATAATTTGTATAATTATACATGTAGTCATTATGTAACAAATATCAATATGTTAATATCCCGCAATTGCAGTGTGTCATTCCACTGGCTAGTTTATGTCAGAAAATTGGTGATGTCAGCTTATTTGTATGAAACTTTCCCCACTATATCTCATTTTCTTTTACAATTCTTAATTTTTGTTGTGAGTTTATGATCATCCTCATACTTTGTGTGTAAGAATGAAACGTATGTAGTGAATATATTTTGTGGGTGTATGTGCATGGATATTAATGTATTTTGGTAGACAATATTGATAAAGGATTTCTTGTTTAATTTGTGTATCACATATGATTAATATTTGCTGATTCTTCTGTACTTGAGCTATAATTATTTTAGAGGAGGAACTTAAACTGGTGATGCAAATTTTATGTCTGGTCTCTTTGTGGAGGATTTATCACTGAACCCACAAGAAACTGAAACAAAATCTCTATTTGGGGGGGGGGGGGGGGGAGAGGGGGGGGAGATTCTCTGTCTGTAGGCCCTATACAGTATCCAATTATAAGATTTATTCGATCTTCCTTTTTGAATACCACTATTTTGGTTTTCTTTTCAAACCATAGTAGATTTCCTGCCATTTATTTTTCTAATTTTGTCCTTAGATAACTGATCAAAGAATAGAAGACCTGCAGATCGTTCGATACTTTCAGGTGGTACCTAAACAAGAAAGCAAGTGTTAAAATGATTTTAACTGATAACAATACTGATACCTGTAAATCAATAAACTGGTAACAGAAATGAAAATATTGTTAAACCTGTATATTATGAAACTGAAAGAACCAAATATTTTAATTACTTTTACAAGAACGAAAATTAAAGGTATACTCCCGCTTGAATACAGAATTTCCAAGTGTGTTCCTGCAGTTTTATTTGATGTAAAGTTGATTTACATACATTGTTCACAGACAGGTTAAAATTTATCTAAACAAAGAAAGATTGTTTTATTTGGATAAAACCCACTTATGGAATCCATAATTTTGCCAATTATAAAAAATATATTCTGATGTGATTTATGAAGGGTTGGTTCCTTTACACTAAGACAGATAGCATTCTTTTTCTGTTTTTTTACTCACAGTTCAACGTCATGCAATCATGATTTATTCTATACCTACTTGAAATACAGTTAGAGGTGTGTTGTCATCTATAGCCTGATTAGGCATTACGTAAGCTTCCATGTCCAACTTGTAATCATCAGTCTCTGCAACTACAACTTTGAAAAAATGTGTTGGCACCGCAACTGAATTTGCTCCTATAACTTGGTATCTGACATACATTTTTCCATCAGTATCTTTTCTATAAAAATCAAAAACATTTATAGTGTTCAGTGTTCACAGAACACAACAAATTTTGTATCTTTATGACTGTCAGATAAACACACTTTTAAAACACACATATCGTTGACATTGCATATCAGTTTAGGTACTGATAAACGTCAATACTCTAAAGTGTATATTTCCTTACAAGATTTTCAATGTAGCTATTAATTAAAATTTTTATGAAGAAAAATGCGTGTACTATGAAATATTAGAAACATGGCAAATATGTGGACACTCAAAAGAAAAGATGTCCTCTTTTTGGTTTCTTGATATTTTCTTATAAATGCGCATGCAACAAAAAATGTGTCAGAATCAGACAATATTGAACCAAACCGTTGTAAAAAAATAACTAATACTAGAGGCAAAACTAAGAGTTATATTTCCTATTGTATTCCTCACAATAAATGAAAGATGAATATCGATAAAGAAGACTGGCACGGGAAACAAAATACCCAGAGAAATGCCTGTTCCAAAATTTTTGCATATATTGCCCTGAAATTGAACGCAAGTCTTCATAGTAAGAAACCAGCACCTGACAGCCTGGACCGCTGCACAGCTTATGGTATGGAAGGAGATCTTAAATGTAACTTAAACAAAAAGTTAAAGTGAATTTTCCTACACAGCCCTTAATCTGTATGATATAGAAGTGCAAAAGTATGGCCAACATAACGGAAATATTGGTATTCCAGCATGTGAAACAATGCTATTGATAAAAATTTTCCATTCATATCTTACCTGGGCAGAAAAAGAGGACCTGTGCATACATACACATTCTTGTATGTTTTTGTCATCTTACGGACATATTTCTCCAGTCTGTTCCAAGAATGTCTGTTGAAACCAACCCCAACTTGGGGAGCTATATTAGAGAGAAAAAATGTCTGATCCACATGTTTCTGACAAACGCGATGATTACCAGCAGCCGCCATATGACCTCGGTCAAAGCCAGTTCCTCGATAATCTGAGTTAACAGACCTAAAGAGACACATTGTATTAACAGGTGGTGTTCATCTTCCTTACCTTATGAACATTTAGCAGGTTCAAGCTCAGACTTTACTATGACTCATCATCATCAACTACTACAAGGACTAGGCCATTGACCCATTCCAGGACAGTTGCTTAAAGCAAGCATGAAAGTTGCAGTTCTGACACTGGGAGAATCCACTTCATTTACTTTAGAGGACTAACGCATCTTGTTATTTAAGAGTTAATATAACAGGAGTATAAAACCAAAACCTTCAAAATTTGTACTCTTTCCATCAAACAATATTATGTTAATGAAATCAAGAAGGATGACCTGGTCAGAACATATGGGGTAGATGAGATATGTATATAAAATAACAGAAACCTTATAGGAAGGGACAAAGGTCATACTGAGCCTCCTACCCACTGAGTACTTCAGAAGTGAAGCTAGCCATTCATATCAAACAAGTACCATTATTAAAAATGTATGGAGCTTTATTTCCAGTCTTTTTATGCTATGGTGCTTTAGTACACAATCTTTATCTGTACTAATGTAATGCCATAACTTATCTAAAAAGCTGTATAATCACAAAAACACATTTTCACTCTTGTCTTTATGATGATTCATTGAAGTATTGGAGTGAAACTAATCCATGCATTTTAAACCACATCACAGCCAGAAAGTAACATTATGATGTATGATATTGGCATTTGGTTTCATAGGTTCGTATTTTTCTGAGGATGAAATTGGCAGTGCGGTTACTGTGACATTTTATTAATGTGTGCATATGGTAAGCGAGTTCTTGTTTTCAGAGTCATGTCACCTGCCACAGCAACAAGATGGAGTGACAGCACATATTGTTCAGCTAGTTGAACACTTTAAGGACTGTGTTTGAACAGTGAATATGGTGACATTTCTTGGTCAGTCAGTTTTCCATTTCTGTCAGCTAATGATTTTTTCTTATGGAGCTACTTGGAAAGCAAAGTGTTTCAAACATGTCTGGCAGGTTTAAATAATCTCAAACAGAGAATTCATGAAAAAATTAATGTCATATCACTAGCCATGTTACAGCATGTAATGGAAAGTGTTAATCAGTGCATCAATCTTGATGGATAACATCTGACAGACATAACTGTTAGAATGTTCTTCAATAATGACAAACTCTTTTCTTTCAATTCACATTACGTTAAATAAATTTGAATAAACTATGAAATGTGGTGAACTAGAGTATTTTTACAAATGAAGAATGAATGCTGCCCCAGTCTGCATAACAGGCAAAAATGAAAAGACAGAAACTGGCTTTAGTACTCTTGGAAAGATGGATACTAGGGAAAATAATTCCGATGACTGGCCGTTATGACACATGAATAGAAATTTTCAGAAAAGGAGAACAAAGTCCTAACCAGCTATAATATTGCATATATAAATTACTGCTTGCTCCAGTTTGGAATTTATTTCATTTCAACAGTGAGAATAGCACTACATGGATATACAAGAAGTGTGGCCTGTTTGATTACTTTACCAAATGGTCACATTGAAACTACTTAAATACATTAACAAAACCAGAAGTCAGCTAACTACAACTCTACATCACCATCCATTATTTAGAATTTCAATCACTGATAACTTCTTAATATTAAGAATAAAATGGAAATTGTTAAAAGAACTGCAGTAGATAGATTGGTCTTATTCATACCTGAAGTAAGGATGAACTGATGTATCCTCAGCAAATTCACATTTCGACCGATCAACAAATTCATTGTATACCAAGGTCTCTTTTGTAAGGTGTTCAAAAACCCAATGTGGCACTCTGTTTCTACGATCATATGAAAGCACATAATCATCAAATGATCTTACAGTATCAATGCCTGGGAAACCATATTTCATTATCTGAAAGAAAATAAATAATACATGTCGATGAAGTTCAATTGGGTACTACCTCAACTCAAGAAATTATTTACATTTCTCTGAGAAGGAAAAGTAAGAATTAGAGGACAAACTATTAACCTATGAGCTGGGGTAGCTCATTCAGTATAGTGACTGGCTACAGACTGGATGACTGGGGTTCAGTCCCTGACAGGGACAGAGGATTTTTCCTCTAGCCTGTGTCCAGACCAGCTCTGGGGCCCACCCAGCCTCCTATCCAATGGGTACCGGGGTCCTTTCCTGGGAGTAAAGCACGACCAGGGTATGACGCTGACCACTCACCACCTTCAGGTGCCAAGGTTGAGAATAAAATTTATTTACATTTCACAGATCCTTCATAGGCCTAAGCCAAGGATGCAGGTCATAGCACAAATATAAATGCATAATTGTAACATCTGTTTACAGATTTTTGGAACTACAGTATTACAGCAAAATAATTATGATGAGAAACCTTCACCATTCTTACTTACAAGTATTTATAAATTCTTCTACTGAGTAGGAGTGAGAGTGGAGACACTCTTTAACGTTGCCTTAAACATTTTTATATCGTGATTTAAACTTTTGATAATAGGTGAAGGATTATTGAATAACTTCATTCCAGTATAGTAAACTCCTTTTTTGATATTTACTGAGGTTAGAATTTGGCACATTAAAGTTGTATCTGTATCTTGTTCTTATATTGTGGATATTTGTATTTGTTTAAAATATTTCCATGTTATCCACTACAAAAGATAATAGTGAGAGCAAGAATTCACTGGGCAGTGGAAGAATATTAAACTTCTCTAATAATTCCTTACAAGAGCTCTCCTTTTAGCAGGAGTTATACCTGCCCTCCTCCCAAAAGCCTACGTGGCGTATAGTGGCATAGAAAAAACTATTAACCTGCGATACTCTGCTGGGTTTACGTGGAACAGGAGACGATTCACGTGAAACAAAATCATTTTCCAGAACTGAAAGTTTGTTTTCTGGAGAAGCAGCCGATACTGTTCCAAAAATTGGTAGACCAGGCATTCTTTTTATTTTACACAATAAATCATCCTCAGTGTTTTCGTTAATACATTGACATTCGCATGTAGTTTGTCTTTGTTTCCACCTCTCTGTCAATATTCCACTAAACCAACCTCCGACTCCAACACCTGTCAAAGAAATAACTTGCAACGTTAACTTCACCGTCATATTGTATTCAGACTACTAAACCACACCAACTTCCTTAGCAAATAGCAGACGACACAAAGGAATTCTCGTGAACCTTGAGTCCTTTTAACGATATTCAACTACAGGGCCACCAATCATACAAATTGAAACTTGAAGTTCTCCCGCTTTTAACTTTTAATACGCAACCATATTTCGTGAAAACTGTTTATACAAGCGTAACAGTATGACATAGTCTGTGTTAACTGTTCCGTAGTAATCCATGGTTCTAACTCTATAAACATCTAGAGCCAATCTCATATAGGTTAAGGGTACCAGCTGTGTTAAGCAGCTTAAAAGTCAGTTGGTACTGCCGTGTAAAACAAATGAGGACTAAGTTTTCTTTTATACACTGTTATGTTAGCTGGTGCATTAAAAGTTATAGGTTAAGTACAAACAATGAAGATAAAGTCAGGGGAACGTAACATATCAGCGATGAGTAAATTCGATGTAAAAGGAGTCCGTGAACTACTGGTTGCAGAAAGCAAGTTTATAACACAGTTATTGGATAAGCGTAGCGTACCTGTTACTGGGAACAATGAATCAGGTATGATAATTCTCCAGTGTCTTGTTGTGGTATTATGTACTTTCTGTAACTGATTTGGTGGCACAGAAGTGTTTTTGGAAATGTGTGGCATGTTGTCAACACTTGACCAAGTTCATAGGAAGATAAACCTCTATTGTAATATGGAACTTTTATCCAGATAGCTGTATCACATATAGGACCATGCTGATTTAAATTAAACATGAATAGAACTTAATTTATTTACATTCCGTAAATACTTCATAGTACCACATCATAATATGAATACCATCACTCAGTACAAATAACTTTTAATGCTAGATGGAAGAATATTGAATAATTTGATCCCTACACAGTAAACACCTTTCTGAAAACTGGTGATGTTAGCATTCAGCATATGGAAGTCATGTTGTGTTTATACTTTGTATGTCAATTTGTTTGGAACTTCTCCATGTTGTTCACAATGCATAATATTGTTAAACATTAAGATATAACAGGTAAAGTAATGAGTTATAAGTGAAATGTGGCTTTTGCTGTAGAAAAGTCAGTCAGGGCATGCTATGTGATGTGTGTAAGTGGTAGTATTATTGGGAATGTACCACCACCACATCCTGTAATTTGGATTTAAATAAGTCATGGTATTGCGTTATGTAAGCAGGCTAGGTTAATCAGGGAATAGGAAGAAGCTATTTTTGGACCTACAGAGGAATATTGTCTTGGCTCGTAATCAGATTGTTGGTTTGAAAGCTGATAGCAGCTATTGTTTTAAATGTAACTGTCCACATTTTGGACAGAGGTTGAAACCAAGTCCTGATGCAGATCCAAAAGTTTTCATTCCATTGAGGATCTGAAAATCATTGTATTCCTGAGGAACAAATTTGAGACTGTGGTTATTTCAGGACCTTTGAAAGTTGTTCAGGTCATGGATAGAGAGGATCCAGAACCCAGACTTATAAGGAGATGTCAACAGACTTGATTTAATAGTTTTAATTAATTTGGGATCAATGGAAAGAAGACTAAGTAAATAAACAACTGTCTCACGCTTTCATCCAAAGGACCATAGTTTCAGAAAAAATTCTTTAAAGTATTCTGTTTGGTATGTGTACGGTTTAAGTTGGCTTATTTGCAGACAAGGCATGATAGCCAAGGAGATGAGGTTATTGACAAAAACCTTTTTAATCACTGTCATAATACATACATATATTCATCGTGATGTTTGTGATGTATTAGCATTAATGAAATATATTTTAAAGTAATTATTTTGATGAAACAATTTTTCAGGTGTTGTAAGAGGCAGTTCTGAAACAAATTCTGGTGTTTACAGCAAAAAGAAAGGTCTGTATTACTTTAAACATAACTTGTAAATGATAATAAAAAAACAATCTTCAGTCATGTCAGATTTGAGGTTTTTACTGCAGTGGTGATGATGATCTTTTGAAGAAGGAGACTGCATTTCTCTGAAAGCTTGGCATGAGTCAACATGGCACCAAAGCCCAGAAGAACAACATAATTTTCAGTTTGGCAGAATTCACTGATTGACATGTATACTCATTTATAAAGTGAAGCTTTTGCGGTGACTGAGCATGTATACTCATTTATAAAGTGAAACTTTTGCGGTGACTGAAATTGATGAAAGATTCTCGGGTTACAGGCCG